AAGTTAAGGGTTGTAATGTCAAGTGCGTCCGGGTTATTCCACCGAATACCTACTCACTTCACTGCACGACCACTAACACTGATCAACGCGACACAATCACTTAATGTATTTTTAATCCACCGTGATGTCCCTACGTTAGGAAAATTAGTGGCTCCGAAGAGAGTATTAATTGTATTCAATTTATCAGATGTACTACATAGCCAAACACTTGCACAGCAGTAGCCGCATATCCGTTATTCTGTACGTAACACCAGAACATTGCGTAGTACTCCCGTGAACTGAACATCTCTGTCGCCCGATTGCTAACCGACTGACAGAATTTTTCCGAAAGGGCTTCCTCTACCCCCAAGTAGTTTCCCATCGTTCCATTGTGAGTTCACTCTCACCACGACAAGATTTAGGTAAAACGAAACCAACGGTTCTAGGATAACACGTGCTTTGCAGAAGTGGAAGGAAAGAACCGTCGTGCAGTTTCACCAAGGCGCGTAGCCAGTTAATTTATTGCCAGGGTACCTACTGCTTCGAGATAGAAAACAGATATCACGTGCATCAGCTTGAAAATGTCCGAAATAAAGAGGACCACCTACGTACCCGTTGCTTCGAGTTGGAAAGTACAATGTACATTGTTTTCCTCGAAGAGGAGGGAAAAAATTTCACCGACACGTGTCAGTTGACGCTCCTTGGCCCCGTCCGACCACCTTTGTAGAGGCCGGAGCGGACTTTTCGGTTATTTATGGCTCAATTTCTTCGGCCTCGTAGCAACCGTGAACTCACAACAGAATTGACAATCGCCAATTTTATTACAACTCTGTGAAATTACAGTTCTCATGAAAATATTTCATACGTATTTTTTTAGTATTCCGTCAAATATCTCGGAAATTATTAGAAATATAAAAACTATATAATTTGTAATATTGTGTTTGTTTTGGTAAATCCAAAAAAAGTTCTACCGTATTCGTTGAACTCTTTTCCGTAAATCATTGATTTTATTTGTTACGTCTTTTTTATTTGCTATTATACGCAGTTTCCTGCGATGCATGCTGACCTTCTTGTTCAGAACTTCGTAGTACAAGTGTAGCGCGGGAACTCGGCTGGCAAACTCGCGCTCTGATTGGTCGCGGTTTTTCGTTAATATCTCGGTAACGAAGCCTCAGATTACATTGTTGCTAAGGAATAAGTTGTTCCAATTCACCCTCCGAGTGCACCATTTCCGGGTCGGACAACATTCATGTTACACCCTGTATACATACATCACGAAAAAGTAACCTTATCATTTACTTCATGCTATATTATCGTTATGTGTATTATTATTATTTGTATATCAAAAAAGTAAACCATATATATATATATACAAGGTGTTCGACAACTAGTGGGAAAAAATTTAAGGGGTGATTCTTTGAGGCAAAATAAGACGAAAATCAAGAATAACGAAATTGCGAAAAATGCTTCGTTTGTTAATTATAAGAGTTTAAAAATTGACCGAAATCATGGCAATCCGCGCGCACGGAGTGTCAGCGGATCACGGCTCAACAGGGGCGTACAGTCACTTTAAAGACTCAACGACGTGCAGGAACAGTCGGTAGAACAGCTGTTTACTTACCTCGTAGAAGATGTCGATAACTTGTGCCCGCGGTATTTGAGTCGAATCCATTTGTATCGCATTAACTCTGATTACTCGATAAAATTCGCAAGAAATGTAAATATCTTCTTACGAATATTATCGAGTAGAGAGGGTTAATGCCCCCTCTAGTTGTCACGTATCACAATTGTCCTGTCCACGAGTATCCATGAAATTAATCCGCACACGCACGTACACCACAGAAGTCCGCGAAAAATGTCCACACACACTGAGCCATTGTCCCGTCCGCGAAAAATGTCCATACACACTGCGCGATTGTCCCGACCGCGAAAAATGTTCACACACTGCGCGATTAAGTAGACCCGCGAGCTGTTCCTCCGTTGGGTTTAACACTCTATAGGTTACACAAAACTAACACTCAAAATAATTAATTTAAAACTATTTAACACTAACTTTTATACTAATTTTTAACACGATATAATTAATAAAACCTACAATATTTAATAAAACCTGCAATAATGAATAAAACCTACAATATTTAATAAAACCTGCAATAATGAATAAAATCTACAATATTTAATAAAACTTGCAATAATTAATAAAATCTACAATACTTAATAAAACCTACAATAATTAATAAAACTTACAATAATTAATTTGCACTATTTATAACGACGACATACGCGACACTACTAAATAATCACTACGTAATCGCTAAATAAACTAAAACTTAGTTTTCCGAAGATGAACTCTATTTGCTCGTAGAATGCAAAGGGCACCGTTCGGAAAGGACGACTGATATTGTTGAACTGATCCTCCCTCGTTAGGATCGATGTGGCGTAATAGGTCGATCCCCACTCTTTCATGGTCAATACTTTTTGGGAAGGAAAAACTGCATGGGAAAGTGTCTTGGAGGTCGCGTTTCTTTTCGTATATTCTTAGAGCAACATCTGTATTTTTTTCTCATACACCACTCGGGGCCTCGAGGCTACTTGGCCACGATGCCGAGGGAGCGCGCGTCTGGACATTATAAAACTGCCTCTTGTCTTCTGCAGGACGACCACCCGCGGATTTCCTGTAACGTCTTACTGCCATCGACGAAGACCTTGCCTATTGTGTTTTCGGCCGTCCCTCTAGACATTAACTTGTAAAAAGAACTTTCAATCTCGAATTCCAATTCCATGTTAGAAATGGTTCATATTACACCGAATGTATGTGTTTAACAATGTTATTTATTTTAGTTTCTTAGTTTCTTCATACATCGTAATGAAGGTGCGGCAAATTTCATCTTAGTTTCATTCTAATATCATTATACGTTTTGTATGATGTATGTTAATTGCACATTACCTTTTTGCGGATACAAGAACCTCAAACACTTGGAGTAAGATCGATGTGGTAATAAAATGTGCAATGCACATAAAACATACAGTAAGTCAATATTCAATAATTCAGGAATAAACAGTGGCACCCTCCGTTCAGGTAGCAAGCCGCCTTCGTCGGTCTACCATAGCGGCTGGTGTCATTCATATCTGAATGATTTTTATTTAGGGGGTGACTGGTGTAGACGACCTTGTCCTCCGTCGCGGGGTGCCGAACGATGTTTTTAAACGAGTGCATTCGTTAATTGCTTATCGTTCGAAGCTTCGCTCGATAGGATATCTTTCTTCCTGAAATATTGGATATTGACTTACTGCATGTTTTATGTGCATTGCACATTTTGTTACCACTTCGATCTTACTCCATGTGTTTGAGGTTCTTGTATCCGCAAAAAAGTAATGTGCAATTAACATAGATCATACAAAACGTATAATGATATTAGAATGAAACTAAGATGAAATTTGCCGCACCTTCATTACGATGTATGAAGAAACTAAGAAACTAAAATAAATAAAATTGTTAAACACATACATTCGGTGTAATATGAACCATTTCTAACATGGAATTGGAATTCGAGGTTGAAAGTTCTTTTTACAAGTTAATGTCTAGAGGGACGGCCGAAAACACAATAGGCAAGGTCTTCGTCGATGGCAGTAAGACGTTACAGGAAATCCGCGGGTGGTCGTCCTGCAGAAGACAAGAGGCAGTTTTATAATGTCCAGACGCGCGCTCCCTCGGCATCGTGGCCAAGTAGCCTCGAGGCCCCGAGTGGTGTATGAGAAAAAAATACAGATGTTGCTCTAAGAATATACGAAAAGAAACGCGACCTCCAAGACACTTTCCCATGCAGTTTTTCCTTCCCAAAAAGTATTGACCATGAAAGAGTGGGGATCGACCTATTACGCCACATCGATCCTAACGAGGGAGGATCAGTTCAACAATATCAGTCGTCCTTTCCGAACGGTGCCCTTTGCATTCTACGAGCAAATAGAGTTCATCTTCGGAAAACTAAGTTTTAGTTTATTTAGCGATTACGTAGTGATTATTTAGTAGTGTCGCGTATGTCGTCGTTATAAATAGTGCAAATTAATTATTGTAAGTCTTATTAATTATTGTAGGTTTTATTAAGTATTGTAGATTTGATTAATTATTGCAAGTTTTATTAAATATTGTAGATTTTATTCATTATTGCAGGTTTTAATAAATATTGTAGGTTTTATTCATTATTGCAGGTATTATTAAATATTGTAGGTTTTATTAATTATATCGTGTTAAAAATTAGTATAAAAGTTAGTGTTAAATAGTTTTAAATTAATTATTTTGAGTGTTAGTTTTGTGTAACCTATAGAGTGTTAAACCCAACGGAGGAACAGCTCGCGGGTCTACTTAATCGCGCAGTGTGTGAACATTTTTCGCGGTCGGGACAATCGCGCAGTGTGTATGGACATTTTTCGCCGACGGGACAATGGCTCAGTGTGTGTGGACATTTTTCGCGGACTTCTGTGGTGTACGTGCGTGTGCGGATTAATTTCATGGATACTCGTGGACAGGACAATTGTGATACGTGACAACTAGAGGGGGCATTAACCCTCTCTACTCGATAATATTCGTAAGAAGATATTTACATTTCTTGCGAATTTTATCGAGTAATCAGAGTTAATGCGATACAAATGGATTCGACTCAAATACCGCGGGCACAAGTTATCGACATCTTCTACGAGGTAAGTAAACAGCTGTTCTACCGACTGTTCCTGCACGTCGTTGAGTCTTTAAAGTGACTGTACGCCCCTGTTGAGCCGTGATCCGCTGACACTCCGTGCGCGCGGATTGCCATGATTTCGGTCAATTTTTCAACTCTTATAATTAACAAACGAAGCATTTTTCGCAATTTCGTTATTCTTGATTTTCGTCTTATTTTGCCTCAAAGAATCACCCCTTAAATTTTTTCCCACTAGTTGTCGAACACCCTGTATATATATATATCTGTGTCCCACTTTCGTAATTATTATTCAAGTTTTTATATTTAATTCGATTCAATTTCTAGAAATCTTGGAAGCCCACGGAAGGGGCAGAATAGCATCCCTAATCGGAGTGGAGGGTGGACATAGTCTAGGAAGTAGTTTAGCCGTTTTAAGAACACTGTATCAATTGGGTGTACGGTATCTCACGCTGACGCACACATGCAACACACCGTGGGCGAAAAGTTCGTCGGTGGAAGATGACGATGAACAGGGTGAGTATCACGCTGACGTAAAAATGAATCTAGTTGCACCTATTTTACCCCACTTTTTGTAAAACCTAAAAAATGATCCACATCTATAATGTTGCGTATCGACTTGAAAGTATTATTAAATAACTTCGTGTGGACCCATAGCATTAGACATTGATCTTACCCACATTTTATAGATTCTAAATAATACACTTAAAATCATAAATATCTGAATGTTAAAATATTATTCTGTGGGTCAATTTGTAATAAGTTATAAGTTTAAGGAATATGTAGAAGAATTTTACTTATGGTCTATTTCACGAAAGAAGAGCCCTGAAGTGTTTCCGTGCCGCAGCGCGTGGCTTGGTGGGGAATGTGGGGATCCAACGCGGGCTGCGTATTTTATGCGACGTTGTGACATTTTCAATGCCACTATGCGTTTCTTTTTGTCCTTTGGCACGAGATCCTCTCGCTCAGTAGCTCGATAAACCAATTTCCTTCTTTACCCTGCGATTTCCACGCTACAGTAGGCAATCAATTCCCGCAGTACCGTTATCTGCACGAAGGGCACGCCTCTTGCTCACACGTCTTTCTCACACACGTGCGCGTACCCTACTCTGTCGCCCAGCATGCCCAGGTCGAAACACATATGGTGTCGCGTTTAACACGCATATCTCATCACAGAAAGTGTAGTGTATATCATACTGTTTTAATAAAATGTTGCAATGTTTTTATTGGTGCAATAAATATTGGTGGCAATTTCATTGCTTCGTGTCTCGCGGATCACACGTATGGGTTAGATGCTAACCAGGGTCACGGGGGCGTTTGGCACACGCTGCAACGATCCGTGGTGCGCCGGAGAGAGAGAGCGTCGACCATTAGGGTGGGGCGCCTGCGACCCAGAACGCGGACGCTGGTCCCTGATGAAACTGATATTCCCTCTTCGGAGGAAATTTCGGCGAAGTCCGGTGGGCCACCGCTCGCGTCGCGTTCCTTGTAAACTCTAGGGTGGGGGGAGGGCGCGATCTACTCTACCTCGTTTTCCATTCTACTAAATTCACACACCCCGCTACAGATTTAGACTAGATTCATACTGGCGGTGGATTCATTTATGGTCCACTGCGGCTCCCAGGGGAGGTGATCGCCGAACCCGACCACGTCTCTCCTTGAGGTCGGCTAGAACGGCCTCCCCATGTATCTCTATCGGAGTCCCGGGACTCTCTCCCTGTCCTTGAGGGGGGTGGTAGATTTGTGAGGGGTACCAGAGGAGGGGGGGCTCCTGAAATATTCGGGACATAGGCAGGTAATACGATAGGGGGTTGAAACAGGCGACACAGCTCTCTCTCAATGATGGAACGTACACAAGCACGATGATTCCACCCCTGGTACAGACTCGGTCTGTGGGTGAAGCAAAGAGTGAGCCGGTACTCACTTTGGAGACGAAGGATCGGTTGCCCCGACGACCATATTCCATAGCTAATTCACTTAGGTAGGGAAGGGACGATCCTAGTGACTCTCCGCCCCCGGCGAGTACTTCCTCGCCTCCATGCGGCCCGGGCCTAAAAAAGTTGGTCGGGTTGGAAAACCGGGGGAAATAATAGCCCCGGGTAATGCCCACGGCAGCCCCCCTGCTAACACGGCGGGGGGTGTTTGAGAGCTAACGGCGATTTGAGCCACAGCTGGGCCTTGGGGGGGAAATCGCACTTCCCCTCTCCCGGGAGAACCGTACTACTATTACTACTACTACTAGATGCTAACCAAGCTAGACATTTGCCACTAAAATATGTCACGAATTATTAACTTTTTCACATAATACGTTAATACTTTATTACGCAGAATGTTTAGAACAATCGATTTATGTAAAAAATGAAGTATTTTTATACCATAGCACTTCAATGTCATTAATAAAAGAACATAATTAACTTTGAGAACTCAAAAGATTCTTCACCTACAAAAGAACTGTTACTGCTAAGAACAGTTTTTTCAGAAGTAGCAGCCTTCTCCATATTAAAAAACTTCTATGAATACACTTCTCTGATATCTCTAAAAATAACGGAGATAACACTAGTTTACAGTCATTTGGTGATCTAGACACTACTATGAAATTCTTATGAAAGGTGGTCGCCTAAATGCAAAAACCGACATGAGACGTAATTCTATGGATACGTTTTTGAGATATCGGTCGATGAATATTTTGGTAATTTTTTAAAAAGATGACCCGACATTTTTGGCCGTATCTCGCGTTATAGTTGACCGATCTGATCGTGACGACACTTAAATTAATAGTAATTAAATTACATATAATTCTTTCCTACATCGTTTTCCAATCGGGCCAATAGTTTCGGCGAAATCGAGCGAAACTTAAGAAAAATTTCATTTTTTGAGACCGAAATTAAAATCGACAATTCACTACATCGCCTGGAAACCACAGAAATTATTAAGTTACGTCCAGATTCTTATTTTTTACGTAGAGTACGCACTTTTACGAAGAAAACAAGCCCAACCTGAGTAAAATCCATGGACAAATAAGGAAGTTACGGGCGATAGAGTGGGAGTGCCTATTCTCAACATTTTCCCTATTTCTTCCTCTTTCTTGGCGAATTACGTATTTGTCTTCAATGAAAACAAATTTAGATGTATTTTTCCGCGTATTTATTTATTTAAGAAAAAAACAAATTGAAATGTATTTTATTTTATTTTTAAAAACACTTCAAGCTTTCTATGCTTTTGCCCGCATTTATATCTGTTTCTCTTACAAGGAACCAGTCGTAGTCACCCATCATTGACTCATCCCAGAATTCTGGGTAGCGTCCCAAATAGCACTGGTGGCAGCCAGGCGTCTCCTCCGCCCCAATCCTCAGCAGGTACTCCCCGAAACAACC